AGTGTTATACTTTCTCTATATCGAAGTGTTATACTTCTCTATAACGAAGTGTTATACTTTCTCTATATCGACGTGTTATACTTTCTCTATATCGAAGTATCGAAGTGTTATACTTTCTCTATATCGAAGTGTTATACTTTCTCTATATCGAAGTGTTATACTTTCTCTATATCGAAGTGTTATACTTTCTCTATACGAAGTGTTATACTTTCTCTATATCGAAGTGTTATACTTCTCTATATCGAAGTGTTATACTTTCTCTATATCGAAGTGTTATACTTTCTCTATATCGAAGTTTTATACTTTCTCTATATCGAAGTGTTGTACTTCTCTGTATCGAAGTGTTACACTTTCTCTATATCGAAGTGTTATACTTTCTCTATATCGAAGTGTTATACTTCTCTATATCTCTATATCGAAGTGTTATACTTTCTCTATATCGAAGTGTTATACTTTCTCTATATCGAAGTGTTATACTTTCTCTATATCGAAGTGTTATACTTTCTCTATATCGAAGTGTTATACTTTCTCTATATCGAAGTGTTATACTTTCTCTATATCGAAGTGTCGAAGTATACTTTCTCTATATCGAAGTGTTATACTTTCTCTATATCGAAGTGTTATACTTTCTCTATATCGAATATACGAAGTGTTATACTTTCTCTATATCGAAGTGTTATACTTTCTCTATATCGAAGTGTTATACTTTCTCTATATCGAAGTGTTATACTTTCTCGAAGTGTTATATCGAAGTGTTATACTTTCTCTATATCGAAGTTTTATACTTTCTCTATATCGAAGTTTTATACTTTCTCTATATCGAAGTGTTGTACTTCTCTGTATCGAAGTGTTATACTTTCTCTATATCGAAGTGTTGTACTTCTCTGTATCGAAGTGTTATACTTTCTCTATATCGAATCGAAGTGTTATACTTTCTCTATAGTGTTATAAGTGTTATACTTTCTCTATATCGAAGTGTTATACTTTCTCTATATCGAAGTGTTATACTTTCTCTATATCGAAGTGTTATACTTTTTCTCTATATCGAAGTGTTATACTTTCTCTATATCGAAGTGTTATACTTTCTCTATATCGAAGTGTTATACTTTCTCTATATCGAAGTGTTATACTTCTCTATATCGAAGTGTTATACTTCTCTTTATCGAAGTGTTCTCTTGATCGAAGTGTTATACTTTCTCTATAACGAAGTGTTATACTTTCTCTATATCGAAGTGTTACACTTCTCTATATCGAAGTGTTATACTTTCTCTATAATGAAGTGTTATACTTTCTCTATATCGAAGTGTTATACTTCTCTATATCGAAGTGTTATACTTTCTCTATATCGAAGTGTATATATACTTTCTCTATATCGAAGTGTTATACTTTCTCTATATCGAAGTGTTATACTTTCTCTATATCGAAGTGTTATACTTTCTCTATATCTACTTCTCTATATCGAAGTGTTATACTTTCTCTATATATCGAAGTGTTATACTTCTCTATATCGAAGTGTTATACTTTCTCTATACGAAGTGTTCTCTATATCGAAGTGTTATACTTTCTCTATATCGAAGTGTTATACTTTCTATATCTATATCGAAGTGTTATACTTTCTCTATATCGAAGTGTTCTCTATATAGAAGTGTTATACTTTCTCTATATCGAGGTGTTATACTTTCTCTATATCGAAGTGTTATACTTTCTCTATATCGAAGTGTTATACTTCTCTATATCGAAGTGTTATACTTTCTCTATATCGAAGTGTTATACTTTCTCTATATCGAAGTGTTATACTTCTCTATATCGAAGTGTTATACTTTCTCTATATCGAAGTTTTATACTTTCTCTATATCGAAGTGTTGTACTTCTCTGTATCGAAGTGTTATACTTTCTCTATATCGAAGTTTTATACTTTCTCTATATCGAAGTGTTATACGAAGTGTTATACTTTCTCTATATCGAAGTGTTATACTTTCTCTATATCGAAGTGTTATACTTTCTCTATATCGAAGTGTTATACTTTCTCTATATCGAAGTGTTATACTTTCTCTAAATCGAAGTGTTATACTTTCTCTATATCGAAGTGTTATACTTTCTCTATATCGAAGTGTTATACTTCTCTATATCGAAGTGTTATACGAAGTTTCTCTATATCGAAGTGTTATACTTTCTCTATATCGAAGTGTTATACTTTCTCTATATCGAAGTGTTATATATATCGAAGTGTTATACTTTCTCTATATCGAAGTGTTATACTTTCTCTATATCGAAGTGTTATACTTTCTCTATATCGAAGTGTTCTCTATATCGAAGTGTTATACTTTCTCTATATCGAAGTGTATACTTTCTCTATATCGAAGTGTTATACTTTCTCTATATCGAAGTGTTATACTTTCTCTATATCGAAGTGTTATACTTTCTCTATATCGAAGTTTTATACTTTCTCTATATCGAAGTTTTATACTTTCTCTATAACTAAGTGTTGTACTTTCTCTGTATCGAAGTGTTATACTTTCTCTATATCGAAGTGTTATACTTTCTCTATATCGAAGTTTTATACTTTCTCTATATCGAAGTGTTGTACTTCTCTGTATCGAAGTGTTATACTTTCTCTATATCGAAGTGTTATACTTTCTCTATATCGAAGTGTTATACTTTCTCTATATCGAAGTGTTATACTTTCTCTATATCGAAGTGTTATACTTCTCTATATCGAAGTGTTATACTTTCTCTATATCGAAGTGTTCTCTTGACCGAAGTGTTATACTTTCTCTATAACGAAGTGTTATACTTTCTCTATATCGACGTAATATACTTTCTCTATAACGAAGTGTTATACTTTCTCTATATCGAAGTGTTATACTTCTCTATATCGAAGTGTTATACTTTCTCTATATCGAAGTGTTCTCTATATAGAAGTGTTATACTTTCTCTATATCGAAGTGTTATACTTTCTCTATATCGAAGTGTTATACTTTCTCTATATCGAAGTGTTATACTTCTCTATATCGAAGTGTTATACTTCTCTATATCGAAGTGTTATACTTCTCTTTATCGAAGTGTTCTCTTGATCGAAGTGTTATACTTTCTCTATAACGAAGTGTTATACTTTCTCTATATCGAAGTGTTATACTTTCTCTATATCGAAGTGTTATACTTCTCTATATCGAAGTGTTATACTTTCTCTATATCGAAGTGTTATACTTTCTCTATATCGAAGTGTTATACTTTCTCTATATCTAAGTGTTATACTTTCTCTATATCGAAGTGTTATACTTCTCTATATCGAAGTGTTATACTTTCTCTATATCGAAGTGTTATACTTTCTCTATATCGAAGTGTTATACTTTCTCTATATCGAAGTGTTATACTTTCTCTATATCGAAGTGTTATACTTTCTCTATATCGAAGTGTTATACTTTCTCTATATCGAAGTGTTATACTTTCTCTATATCGAAGTGTTATACTTCTCTTATATCGAAGTGTATATCTTTCTCTATATCGAAGTGTTATACTTTCTCTATATCGAAGTGTTATACTTTCTCTATATCGAAGTGTTATACTTTCTCTATATCGAAGTGTTATACTTTCTCGAAGTGTTATACTTTCTCTATATCGAAGTGTTATCTATATCGAAGTGTTATACTTTCTCTATAACGAAGTGTTATACTTTCTCTATATCTAAGTGTTATACTTTCTCTATATCGAAGTGTTATACTTCTCTATATCGAAGTGTTATACTTTCTCTATAACGAAGTGTTATACTTTCTCTATATCGAAGTAATATACTTTCTCTATAACGAAGTGTTATACTTCTTTCTCTATATCGAAGTGTTATACTTTCTCTATATCGAAGTGTTATACTTTCTCTATAACGAAGTGTTATACTTTCTCTATATCTAAGTGTTATACTTTCTCTATATCGAAGTGTTATACTTTCTCTATATCGAAGTGTTATACTTTCTCTATTCTCTATATCGAAGTGTTATACTTTCTCTATATCGAAGTGTTATACTTTCTCTATATCGAAGTGTTATACTTTCTCTATATCGAAGTGTTATACTTTCTCTATATCGAAGTGTTATACTTTCTCTATATCGAAGTGTTATACTTTCTCTATATCGAAGTGTTATACTTCTCTATATCGAAGTGTTATACTTCTCTTTATCGAAGTGTTCTCTTGATCGAAGTGTTATACTTTCTCTATAACGAAGTGTTATACTTTCTCTATATCGAAGTGTTATACTTTCTCTATATCGACGTAATATACTTTCTCTATAACGAAGTGTTATACTTTCTCTATATCGAAGTGTTATACTTCTCTATATCGAAGTGTTATACTTTCTCTATATCGAAGTGTTATACTTCTCTATATCGAAGTGTTATACTTCTCTATATAGAAGTGTTATACTTTCTCTATATCGAAGTGTTATACTTCTCTATATCGAAGTGTTATACTTTCTCTATATCGAAGTGTTATACTTCTCTTTATATGTTATAAGTCAATGGCGTAAATCTAATAATGTTAAAGATTTAAGACTTAGGCAATGTTGGGGGGAGAACCATTCTGTGGAGATTTATTGTACTATAGTATAAACATCACACTTGTTTTTTCGTGTTTATTCCTGTCAAGCCTCGATAGTTTGGAGGTTCGGAGGTCCTTTCTTGTTTTGCTGTTTGAATACACTAAGACTTGAACTGTTTACCACTCTGAGAATTGTTGAATTAAAATTAACATTCTAACTCTACTGGAGCCTCGTTCAGGTCATGGATTATAGGGGTGGTCAGTATAACAGTTCAGTTATGACCTTAAGTTTAAAATGTGTTTTATATGGAGTCGTATATTGTGACAATAGCTAAAATCATTTCCATGGATTTAAGCACGAAAACAACTGAAAATGGATTGTTCCTTAATGACGCCATGGTTTTGAATTGAAATCTTGTACTTTAAAGAGACAGCGATCGTGTTTATAAATGTTAACACAAAGACTGGCATTATGTATAACCGAAAACAGTAAGTATAGCCTTTATTTAAAGCATTGAAGATTGAGTATTACAGTTTTGTAATAGGGGGTCTCCATGTGTGTAATGTTGCTATGGTAACTTTACGCGCTTATTTCATTACATAATGCTATCCGCCAGCTTTGTATTTATGAAATTTATCACATCTGTAATGATATCTCTGATTTAAACATATATTGTCAATCTCGTCACAAGGTATAACAACTTTTCACCTTCTATACAGAATGAATATTACCATAACATTCAAACTTAAACAGTAGGAATGTGTAATGAAAAACTTGTGTATATATACAGGGTTGATATGTGCAAGTATTTGAGAAACATCAATATCAAATGTAAGCGCCAGAACCCAGAGGAAATTTCTGTTGTGTGTTTATGTATTTTATCAAACATGTGATTTTGAATCTCTCACTCATCTTTAATTACCTTTGGCAAAAACTGCTTATTACGACATGTTTAAGTGTCCTCGTGTTTTATCGTATTGTAACCCTGGTAAAATACTAGCCGCAATATACAACTCGGCTAGAGAGAACTTCTCTACCTCGAGCGTGAGACTAGTTAGCCAGGGGTCCCGGGTTCGATTCCTAACGGAGGCATTGAGATGAAAAATGACCTCTGTTACAGTATTATCAGTGGTTTACTTAGCTTCTGTGTGTGTTGTGTATCAAATGCATGTGGTATCATTTACTTCTTTGTGTGTTTTATGTCAGTAAAGAAAGACAGCAAAGAAAGTCTAATGACTTCTGTATGTGTTATGTCGGTTATAGCAGCTAATTATGTCCTGTCAATGCGATTACGTGTCGGAAAGTTCCAATTTTTTAGCGAATCAATGACGCAATATCTTTCAAAATACAATAAGGTTCTGTTTGATTACGTTTAAATATGAAAGAAAGATCTTTCCCTGCTGTCGTGTTCCAACGTCTATGGTAGGGTGGGTCAAGACGTCAAGACGTCAAGACTCTCTATGTGCACTTTTCTGATTCTCCATAGCACACGGACACTTCATTGTACCTTTTGACCGAACTATAGAATTCCATCCTCTCATCAGTCTCTTCGTCTCTCCACTACCATGGAGTTGATAAATGCTTGATTCCCTTTGATCCGAGGATGCTCTAAACCAAATCATATCAAATTCTATCCATCCGAAGGGAAGGAAGATATATTAATCTTTATTCCTATTATTTGGCCCTCCACTCTCCGCTTGGTCAGAGAAGCTAGATCCTCCGTTTATAAAAAGATGAGTCCTCTGTACTAACGGATAGTTTCGGCCGAATGTTGTTATAAACAGAAAAAATATATTTACGTCCAATTCTCTTATCAAGTTTCTCCGCTCTAGCCCCTGACCTGTTCTTTACAAAACAAATTAAACCGTTTCACCTTCCGATACTTTATAAATATTTTATCAAAATTCCTTTATTTCACCAGAAGGTGACGGATTTTACGGGTTCATACAAAACCTGAAACCTTCTACTATAAGTGATTCGGACACAATTAGTTAGAACGTCATTCAGGCATTACAGACTAATAACATAGTGACGGATAGCCACGAATCTGTGACGGTCGCTGCGGCATGGCAAAACCTCAAATGTCATTCGTGCTAAATAAGTTAAAACTGTCATATTTACGGTGTGATGAAAGGGAGATAACAGAAGTTATTTTCATTATTTGCTTTGCATTCTAGGTTCGTCAGGATGCCCCTGCGGGACACATATAAAGTACAGCTCAAACGGGTGAAGGATGGGATAGATAGAGAGCGCGTGAAGATTCCTAAAGCGCCACCAAAGTCAGTAACACAATTCAATGTACAATGTACGGATAAGCTGGTCAAAATGTTATGAGGCCTTCGGCGACGGAAAAAAAATACAAAGAGTGTTTTCCCATTTCTACAATACATAAATGTATAAAAAGCAAAATATATATTCATACTTTGTATGAAGAATATAATTTTCTCTTTATGATCTAGAAATATGATACAGTCACATAACTTCAAATCATGACGTAATCATCAAATGCATTACGCTTATGAATAATTACCCATAAAGCAATAATCAAAATTGGTATAAGACTATCATATTGATTAAGGCTTTAGGTTTTCGTTATCTACTCCAATCATGAACGAGAAAGTATATTAACAAAAAATAGAAATAATTTGCATGTAACTCACTATTCGAACAGAAATTATTGTTTTCGTTACATTTTTTTACAGAGAAGGTTATAAGCCGTTTATATGGAATAGCTTGGAAGGCTACTATGACACGTCCGTACCAGAGTATGTTATCAACTGCGTAAGTATTTGATGAGTGAAATCTTGACCAACTGATTTGTTGATCTCTAAGATGTAAGTTTGATTCTTTGATAAAATGTACTCAGTGATGCTATCTTAACTAGTTGGTTAAATATAGTATGGGATGGAATATTGACTCGTTGGTAAGATGAAGTGTACGGAGAAATTAAGAGTCTTTGATAAAATGATGATAAAATAAAAGATAGGTTAAGTATAGGATGAAATGGTAACTCGTTGCTAAGATATATGATGAAATGGTAACTCGTTGCTAAGATATATGATGAAATGTTGACTCATTGCTAAGATATATGATGAAATGGTGACTCGTTGCTAAGATATATGATGAAATGGTGACTCGTTGCTAAGATATAGGATGAAATGGTAACTCGTTGCTAAGATATATGATGAAATGGTAACTCGTTGCTAAGATATATGATGAAATGTTGACTCATTGCTAAGATATATGATGAAATGGTGACTCGTTGCTAAGATATATGATGAAATGGTGACTCGTTGCTAAGATATATGATGAAAGGGTGACTCGTTGCTAAGATATATGATGAAATGTTGATTCGTTGCTAAGATATATGATGAAATGTTGACTCGTTGCTAAGATATATGATGAAATGTTGACTCGTTGCTAAGATATATGATGAAATGGTGACTCGTTGCTAAGATATATGATGAAATGGTAACTCGTTGCTAAGATATATGATGAAATGTTGACTCGTTGCTAAGATATATGATGAAATGGTGACTCGTTGCTAAGATATATGATGAAATGTTGACTCGTTGCTAAGGTATGTGATGAAATTTTGACTCGTTGATAAGATTCATTAAACCATGAATCATAAAAAAGCGTTATAGTGAGTAAAGTGTCTTAATGAAAGATAAATTGCTCAATGGTTTCAATGTCATAGACAAAAAATGTGAAATACTGAAAACAACCTGAAGTGTTATAGTTCTTGATGTCACATCTGCCTCAAATGCCGTGCTCGTAACCAATTATCTAATATCAGCATTGACTATTTTGATACTTAATTCAGTCAGGATTTACGTAAATATCGTTCCATCCTTCTCTGGTAATACAGTTATAGGGAAAGGAGTCCGCTCAAACATTATCTCATTTGTTCTAAACGTCGTATATTTCGACTTCCTGACACAGAAATGTCAATGTCTAGCTTTAGCAGATTATTTTGACTTTGTCATATTCCTTCCAGCCAAAAGAAGATATGCAGCCTCAGGTCCCCTACAGCTGGGTAGACAAAGACGTAAGTACACTGTATATCAATGACTGGTTTGGTATGGCATTCATAAGCGGTATGATAATCATCTGAAAATGCGAAATCACAATAAGCAGCGATTACAAAGGAAGATTGTTAACTTTTTGTTCTTAATTCATTTAGCTCCTATTTTCGTACCTCAGAATGGAAGTGTCTGATGCAGTTCAATGTTGATCATTGACGATCTAAAACGAATGCTTTCTTTAATTTCGCAAAAATGAACATTTTTTATGACAATCTTTTCAAAATTGAACCTTTCATACTCCTTAAAGGCTTGGCATCAAGCGGGGATATCCAACCTTAGACGAGATTTGCCGAGACATGGTGATAGCATAACAACTTTACATCATCAACTATAAATGCATTGCGTCATTTAGAACCAACTTAACAATACACAAGCCAAACATAGAATATTGTCATAGAATGGAGTTACGGTATCATTTAAACTCGACCGCTGTTTTAGTCACTGATAAAATAACACAGCCTTCAAACCATTAAAACATTCTACAAATTTCTTTATAATCAACCCAATGACATGAAAACTGATGCATGCAATCCTAATTACCACATGTTTATTGAGAGTCAAGTTTCATCCTCGCATGTTACAGTTAACTCCGTCATTTTTAACCTATCTGGTTTTTGGAGATGCTTCTTATTTGCTGTTTCATTCGATTAAATCATTCCTCCTTCAAGACTACGTTGATATAACGACTGAACTAGCCCATGATCTCGATTTAATATTACGAAAATGTTACCCTTACGTATCCCGGTTTAACATCTGAGTTTCCTTCTTCTGTGCAAATGTACCCAATATATAATTCCCTTCTCTTAGTTTAATAGTTAAACCTTTCCCTCCCCTTACGTGATACCGTTATTGACCCATGCATTAGATGTATTTAAGTGTGCTACCCCTCATTTTAACGACTATTTTATTCCCTATCCTTGTTTGACGACATCTAAAGTTACAACGTCATCTATATCCACATATTTCAAAGTTTCACCACAGACTCCCAATCCTTCACTCTTTTTTGTAGTTTGACGACTCTCTAATTGATGTTTCGACAAGGAAAACTACGCTCAGGCTGGTGGATCCTTTAGAGGATTTCAACATGGCCAAGGAAATTCTGCCCAAACTACGTGACAGTCGTCCGTCCACAAAGAATTCTAACTTCCGGTCAAGCCAGCGGGGGAGCAGACCACCTACTAATGATTCGGCCGATAGACAGAGGTCAGTTATTAGTTAGTCGGGATTAATTTCAAAATTTCTGTCCTTTTCTTCTGCATAAGGTAGTAACGGCGTAAGCGTTTATAGAATAATTACTTATTCGTTGAATGAGTTGACATTTCGGAACTGTTCCATAAGTAGTTGATGATCAGAAATCAAAATTTGATTGATGCAATTTTATTTTTGATAAGAATAAATTGAATGGAAAAAAGATATATTGAAATAAAAATAGAGAAGAATGCTTCATAGATTATGAGTAAATATGAAAAATGATACATGACTACTATAATTATATGATAAATTTCGGTTTAGATTTTTGCTTCAAGTTTACAATTGAAGTTTAAGTGAAAAGTGTTGAAAGTGGTGTATTTTGGTGCTGGATATTTTTTTGAAATCTTAACAAATATTTCAGAATGGTTAGGATATTGTGTTGAATGGCAGTGATACTTTATTTGGAATCCAGTTTTAACCATTCCTAATGTGACGGTTTTTTGTTTGGTGTGAATTTATGATTTCCAACACCATTTTGTCAATCAAATCACATGAAATCTACAATATTCTGCCAAAAAGCAAAGAGTTAGCAAATTCTCGTTTTAAAAATGTCGTTGCTGAGTAGTAAAGAGGGACAGTCCACGTGACGATATGACCTAACAGTATGAATTGATACAATACTAACTTGAGCATAGTAAGGGACGATATACACCAGAAAGTACAATTGAGGATATCAACCTGACAGTACGCTATATGACGATTTCCACTTGATAGTACAATTTTTGATAACATCCACCTGAAGGTATAAGATGTAATATTAATATAAATCTGATAGTACCAACACAGACGATATTTATATAAGAGTACGATTTGTGACGATATCCACCAGACTGTGACGATATCCACCAGACTGTGACGATATCCACCAAACTGTACCATTGGTGACGATATCCACCAGACTGTAGGATTTGTGACGATATCCACCAGACTGTAGGATTTGTGACGATATCCACCAGACTGTGACGATATCCACCAGACTGTAGGATTTGTGACGATATCCACCAGACTGTGACGATATTTATATAAGAGTACGATTTGTGACGATATCCCCCAGACTGTGACGATATCCACCAGACTGTTATGATATCAACCAGACTGTTATGATATCAACCAGACTGTAGGATTTGTGACGATATCCACCAGACTGTAGGATTTGTGACGATATCCACCAGACTGTAGGATTTGTGACGATATCCACCAGACTGTGACGATATCCACCAGACTGTGACGATATCCACCAGACTGTTATGATATCAACCAGACTGTAGGATTTGTGACGATATCCACCAGACTGTAGGATTTGTGACGATATCCACCAGACTGTGACGATATCCACCAGACTGTTATGATATCAACCAGACTGTAGGATTTGTGACGATATCCACCAGACTGTAGGATTTGTGACGATATCCACCAGACTGTAGGATTTGTGACGATATCCACCAGACTGTGACGATATCCACCAGACTGTGACGATATCCACCAGACTGTTATGATATCAACCAGACTGTAGGATTTGTGACGATATCCACCAGACTGTAGGATTTGTGACGATATCCACCAGACTGTAGGATTTGTGACGATATCCACCAGACTGTGACGATATCCACCAGACTGTGACGATATCCACCAGACTGTGACGATATCCACCAGACTGTTATGATATCAACCAGACTGTAGGATTTGTGACGATATCCACCAGACTGTAGGATTTGTGACGATATCCACCAGACTGTGACGATATCCACCAGACTGTTATGATATCAACCAGACTGTAGGATTTGTGACGATATCCACCAGACTGTAGGATTTGTGACGATATCCACCAGACTGTGACGATATCCACCAGACTGTAGGATTTGTGACGATATCCACCAGACTGTGACGATATTTATATAAGTGTACGATTTGTGACGATATCCACCAGACTGTGACGATATCTACCAGACTGTAGGATTTGTGACGATATCCACCAGACTGTGACGATATCCACCAGACTGTAGGATTTGTGACGATATCCACCAGACTGTGACGATATCCACCAGACTGTAGGATTTGTGACGTTATCCACCAGACTGTAGGATTTGTGACGATATCTACCAGACTGTAGGATTTGTGACGATATCCACCAGACTGTAGGATTTGTGACGATATCTACCAGACTGTAGGATTTGTGACGATATCCACCAGACTGTAGGATTTATGACGATATCCACCAGACTGTAGGATTTGTGACGATATCCACCAGACTGTGACGATATCCACCAGACTGTGACACCAGACTGTGACGATATCCACCAGACTGTAGGATTTGTGACGATATCCACCAGACTGTAGGATTTGTGACGATATCCACCAGACTGTGACGATATCCACCAGACTGTGACGATATCCACCAGACTGTAGGATCTGTGACGATATCCACCAGACTGTGACGATATTTATATAAGTGTACGATTTGTGACGATATCCACCAGACTGTTATGATATCAACCAGACTGTAGGATTTGTGACGATATCCACCAGACTGTGACGATATCCACCAAACTGTAGGATTTGTGACGATATCCACCAGACTGTAGGATTTGTGACGATATCCACCAGACTGTGACGATATCCACCAGACTGTAGGATTTGTGACGATATCCACCAGACTGTGACGATATCCACCAGACTGTGACGATATCCACCAGACTGTAGGATTTGTGACGATATCCACCAGACTGTAGGATTTGTGACGATATCCACCAGACTGTGACGATATCCACCAGACTGTATGATTTGTGACGATATCCACCAGACTGTAGGATTTGTGACGATATCCACCAGACTGTGACGATATCCACCAGACTGTAGGATTTGTGACGTTATCCACCAGACTGTAGGATTTGTGACGATATCCACCAGACTGTGACGATATCCACCAGACTGTAGGATTTGTGACGATATCCACCAGACTGTAGGATTTGTGACGATATCCACCAGACTGTGACGATATCCACCAGACTGTAGGATTTGTGACGTTATCCACCAGACTGTGACGATATTTATATAAGAGTACGATTTGTGACGATATCCCCCAGACTGTGACGATATCCACCAGACTGTTATGATATCAACCAGACTGTAGGATTTGTGACGATATCCACCAGACTGTAGGATTTGTGACGATATCCACCAGACTGTGACGATATCCACCAGACTGTAGGATTTGTGACGATATCCACCAGACTGTGACGATATCCACCAGACTGTAGGATTTGTGAAGATATCCACCAGACTGTGACGATATCCACAAGACTGTGACGATATCCACCAAACTGTACCATTGGTGACGATATCCACCAGACTGTGCGATTTGTGACGATATCCACCAGACTGTAGGATTTGTGACGATATCCACCAGACTATGACGATACCACCAGACAGTAAGATTTGTGACGATATCCACCAGACAGTACGATTTGTGACGATAACGAGATATGTGTATTGATCAATGGAATACGTTTTCTTCTTGAACATAAAAAAATCGAGCCATCGTAGTATGATCAATGACAAAAGTATCAAAACGTTAATTACACATTGGTTCTCCTTTGATCTTAAACCGGAAGTTGGGAAAAATCCTTCAACGGAATATCATAGTCTTTTGCTTTTTGATATATTTTGTTACCAATGATTGTAATTTTTGACAGAAATGGAGTACATTATGTATATTTTTGTCCTGTACATTTAATTGTGTTGTCGTTATGATGATGCGGGATTTCGCGTCAACGATTCCAGTGTTTTCCGGTTGTTTAGGGTGCTTCTCTTGAGTATAAATCTGGAAGTTTCAGGCATACTCCAACATGATTCTGCATCAATTTTCACAACAAAAGTATGCATGACAAAATTGTAGTTATTTAACTAAATTATTGCATACGTTTCAGTCTGACGAGTGCCAAGTTTACATATAAAACTTAATTACTTCGACTTCTGCAAAAACACTTGAATTATATAAATGAGTTTTATCTCTTATTTTTTTCAGTTCACATACATTTTTTTATCTCTTTAAATAGAGGCTCAGTTTTTCAACATATAAGACATCGACTTCAGTTCATGCTCAGTCTAAAAGGCGTTCAACAATTTGGCCTTGGTGTCGGCTAATACTTGTTTTATATGAAAATGACGTTTATGATAGTTTTACTTTTTAGATGGATTCATAATGTGTGTGATTACATATTTTCTAGGATTTGGGAAAACATGAATTTGAGATTGCCGAAGGTGTCTCCGGAAAGGTATTTTTGATATTTCCACAGGTGATAAATATTACTTGATATTAGTCAGTAGTTAGTCTATAAATATATAACAGAACTACGTCATTTCATTAAAGAATGCTTTGATAATAAATAACACTAGTCAGCGTGTTGTTTTGATAAAAGATGGGTGGTAGATAGTGGTATACGAGTGACTAGAAAAGGTTAATAAATGCTTACGGGCTCGGACCTACTAATTTGGGAACCGCAACAAAGTATTATGGTGTTGGATTAATTCGTCTCTAATAATTAACATGCATATTCACTTCGTTATTGCAAACAAATATTTTGATATGATAACGAAGAAACGGGAACGTATTCGAAGAGATGATGTGCAGCATTTAAATGGGAAACAGTATTCGGGAAAAGGTTGCAATATAGAAATTAATGGTAGATATTAACATAGCTAGACATTTAACAGTAGAACAGATTGTATTAAACCCTTGGTGTAATTTACAGAGGAAGAGATGGTGGCCGTCCCGCACTAAACGGGTAAGTTGTATCAAGGTGCAAAAATCTTACAACCGTTCAGAAATAAATACGTGCACACGACACTATCCTTACGTCCTCTTGTATACGAAACCAACACGCAAACTGGTGAATACATATCAAAGAGGAAAGTTTAGGAGGGCAGCCATGTTGAATATGTTGTTTGGGAACGAGATCACGTGATATGTTCAGCCCTAGAGACGTATCCATAATGGCGACTCACCTTAGCAACCCCTAAACCTGCGGCCTGACTCCGGTTGTTTAAAGGCTGGTTAGGGCTTGACACTGATTATTGAAAATGTCCAAACATTAATTAAACAAAATTGGAATGGTTCTTTACCATGCACCAACAGTTGATTCGTTGAAACAGATAAGATTGATATATTTTGAATGTTAAGTTTACATTTAACACACTTTTTCCGTCGTAGCTAGCAATATGAAATGTTCACTTACCACTTGTTAACTCTAACTTTTGAATTATAAATGTTGACTAACATGTTGACATGGAAGTAGAACTGCTTGTTCTATTTATTACAGTAAGCTCCTGACCCATGTCGCTATGTTCTTGTCTGTTTTCATTTCTCATTCCAGGCCCTTCCATTCGTTAGTTCAGTCGTAACAAAATCATCTATGCAATAACGTCATTTCAATGACGTCACTATGTTTACTATGTCCTAGGTTTTATGAATATTTCGACTCTTCTGAATTTTGTTCTCGTTGCATGAAATATAGAGTCAAAATGTGCATTATTTTCTTAAAACCCAGAGCCTCGTTTCCCTTAAATTATGTATCCACGGTTTTATAATGAATTTCGAAAAAAAAAACTGTAATTGCAGTTGTTATAAACCAGGGGATGAACGAATTGATATATAACCATTGACTAAGCCTTCGGTGCATCATCTTCTTCGGTAGCTATAACATCTACAGCATCAATGATCACGAGTCCGGAGAAGGCGACAGTTCAATCTTTCACAGCAGTTACCAAATCCATACAGAGATGCTGCTATCTTCACGTGACGTGAACATTCTAATAATTAGGTTCTAGTAATTGTTCTACACGCAACAAAACAATGTGACGTACTTTCAGTTCATTCCCCGAAATAAAAAAAAACGCATCAAGGAGTTCTATGTTAATTTGCTCCCCGAAACTGCTTTTCCTTAGTGTTAAAAATCATACATTGTTGTATTGTCATTATTCCGATAACGTTGCTAAGTTTGCTACGCGACTGTTTTCCTGATAGGGTCAGCGCATTATCATATCTGAACTCTTATTTTCCTCGTTATCAAATAGAAATTTAGTATACTGTCGTATCAGTACAAGTATTTGACACGTGGTTAACTTTCTGTAATAAATAAAATAATTTGATTTCCCGTAGTCCAGTGCATTATCTCCGTTAGTGAGAGTTCTTGTTTACGAAAGCGGTTTGTCAGGTATTTCGTTTCATAGCATGTTTCTAGGGTCCATGTAGCGTTTCCACGTCTTTTTGAAATTCTTTTAAAAGGGTTACTTTTGTGGAATATTAGAAAGCACATTTTGCCGAGTGCTATGAGGTCAAACAATTCCGGTTCTCCACCGTGATAATCCGAGGGTCAATAAAATTAGCCAAAGTATGCTCAGTCAATTCGTCATAAATATGTTTGTAAAATAAATAAATTGAGTTATCTCCCCTACAATATTAACTCGTTGCAGTGCAGAATTTCACATAAAGCAAAGTAATCAGTAACGGACGATATCGCCTTACGAGTAACTAGGCTATAGGAAGGTATTAATGTTTTTAGAAGTTAAACACATAGCTAGCATGTTACATGCCATACCAGAAGGACACTGAGACTTTTGCATTTGTTCATAAGACTTCAGATACGTGCCCATTCATGAAAACTGCCGCACTGACGAGTAAAAGTTGTCTGGAGCCAGAAACCGAAACAAACACAATGTCATGGAGGCATTTTATGTCTTTAAGAATACTCTTAAGAGTAAATTATCAAGAAAAGAAAACAAACAAATACACGTTGCTCTTGGTCTGGATTTGCTTTAAAAAATTGAACAGGCAGCGCATCTTCCTCGCAGACATGTTTGTCAACATTCATTCTGAAGAAAGACGTAGGCTCGAAGAAGACAAGACTAGAAGTCCGGGGTTAAGAATTCATGTATAACGTTTTTTTCTTGGATGAGATATAAAACTGCGATTTTGTTTTATTTATTCCTATCTTACGTGGTAGCGGTGGTAGACGGGACCTCGAGGGTTTCCCCAGAAAAATTATTTCTGTGGCAATCTTAATCATAATGCTTCACCTTCAAGTACAGACAAACTAATTATTGTTTACACACATCGGTAACGTCACAACGCACATACCATGATGAATACACGTGGTGATCAGGCTGTAGGCTCAGGGATTTACTGAGGTGAGCAGACATCTTGTATACATTGCTAGGGTTCGCGAGATCTCGCATCCTAGCGACGGATTCAAGATGACGCTGTACTTAGTTTCACTTCCTGTTATTTGCATGTATTATGATAATTGCAAAGTCATTTGGAGCGACACTAGTATAATAATGTATATATTTCGTTGGTGAGCGAGCCTATTTGTTGCTATGTCCGCCATGTCACTACTCATATTAAGACTTGCTTCGCAATCGGCCCCTACGATCGTTATCAATTCACCCTGTAACTCCAGACCAATACTGACTTCAACATGACGTTGTTGTAGTATGTGTACGTAATTACATTAATCATGTTCTTTAAAATATTTATCTAAAGTCATTATATGCTATGATATAAATGAGAATTAGATATTTTCTTTGTTTACAGTGACGAGGAAAACCAAGGTCAAAGCCGACGACCACAGTCATACAGGTTGGTTAAGTAAACATTGAAATCAAGGTCATTGCCGACGGCCACAATCGTATAACTGGTTGACATTGACGTTGTGTGATTTTTCACACCGAATATGGGAAAAGCCTTTAATCCATACAAAACCTCCTAATTCCCCTTGTTTGTGATGAACATATATTTATATATAGTGTGCTGGTATTTTCTAGTCGCGACAACAATACAGAGCTACTGACAATTTTCCATATTTTTGTTTTAATCACATTCGACGTAAGTAACCACCTTGTTTCCCATTAATATCTAATATCACCATAACGTAAAGGTGACTTCACTGTTGTTTCGGTATTTCATCCAGGGACATATATGATACTGATGGCTAATGTATGAAGGCCTGAATATGCAGAAAATGTTGATCATTTGAGTCAGCGTCTTTATATCATTATTATGTATGTCTAAAAAAACCTTAAGACTTACACAAGTACATAGAGTGTTGGTCTTTACTGTAATATTTGATATATCAAGTATAGTTGTTACTCCGAGGAGCAATATATGATGTGAATATATAACAAAATGTTTTTTTTTCTTTTCTTTTTAAATGAGTAATTATTCCAACAGGTAAAGTTTCCTATGCATTCATATGCATGGCAGTTTCTCAGCTATCGTAATTAGACAAACATGTAAATCAAGGCATCATGTGTTTGGTAACCGTTATATCGAAAAAATACTCGACGATGTATCGCAAGTAACATTGCTTGACGGATAAATGAATAATTAATTTCAATATTTCTTATCAGGATCTTCATGACGTCGTTTGTCTGCTCTGTCATCAACAGCACACATAAATGCTTTAAGACAGTTCAGTTCTTAGACGGTTACTTTGATCCTTTATCTTACAGTTGTAGTATAAATGCGATGCTTAAAAAAAGCCGGATATTTGTTTTTGAGGGAAAGCAAAATACGCAAGGAAACTTTTTTACTAACCTGTTGTATTATTTCTAACAATTTGCACTGTGTTCACTGTTTTCCGTCTTATTGTCACACCTCCTTGTTGTAGTCAATTAACAGAAGAAAATGTAAACGAGGCAAATGTACAGCACGAGGGCAAGAAGTAAGTATATTATACATATAACATGTTTACCTTAACAGCCTATCTCTTTAAACATCCGGCCCTTCCCCTTATCCAAACCCGCCACTCCTACCCTCACCCTGTCATGACATTGCCGCTTGCCCGCCCCTTCCAACACTGTTCCTTACAGTGCATATGACCAATTCCATTAATGAAACTCTCAGATTTACAAGTGCATTTCCCAAAAAACATAGCAATTTAAAATAAAGGATTATCATCGTCTGTAGTTTCTTTTGATATTATTTATTTATCAAATGTTTCAGTGTCATTACATTAACGATTAGTGTTAAAATCGGGTTACTACGGATCATTAAATGTAACAATAAAAGTTGTTTATGACACGCTCGAATGATTTCACATCTCTCTCTTTGATTTCTTCTCAGAGATCCCGAGACAAAGGTGAAACTTCCGAGAAATCTGTCTGCTAATTCAAAGTAAGCAAATTGGGTATTTTTGAAATTATTGTTTCATCAAATATGCATCTCATAATACAAGTATGATGCAGAGTAAGCTGTTTAATGTAACATTTTCCTTGATGTATATCCGGTTTATTTGTTGCTTTTGAAAATAAAAAAAAAATATATTAACTTGACTATTGCATAATAATTATTCAAGAAACCATAAAATGGCTGATGATATGATACATTTTAATTGACAGAAGACGAGAGCGAAGTCCATACCGAACGGCCTATAACGAGGCTGCACTTCGGACGTCCATCACACAACATCAAAGCAGGCATGCGCATCGACAGAAGTCGTCAAGGACAAGTACATCAAGGTAGGCCAGACCAACCCAAGAATCACCTGTCGAAACAATGAAAATGACACGTGAATCATATTCTAACCGGAAATCTAAGGAATGCTCCGCAAGGTTTCATATTGAAGCCACTTAAGAATTCATCTTGTCATGTAAACAATAAATAACAGCGAAATCATCTATTATACTTTGAATTGCACCGGGTGAGAATGCACTTAGGATGTATCATATGTTCTAATATCCATGGCGAATTTACCTTTTCACTTAGTAAACCCCTCCTTCTGCAGTTGAGCATTCACTTCATTTCAATTACCTAACTTAACATGAGTCTGAGTTGGACAGAATGATTGCAGTCATAAAGATTTGTGCTGGATTATGATATCATTTATTTATTTTTATCGTCTTATTTTATTTATTTATTTACGTTTTTGTAAAATTCATTCAGCAATGACAATACTAAGCTTGAGTCACCGAGCATGTGACAAAAGGGGCTATTTAAAACATACGTTTAATTCTTATTTCATGGCACCAGTCACCACGTTCAATAAAGTTACAATGTATTGTTTTATTATTTCATTGGTTGATATGATTCCAGGTCAATACCAAACAATAATAGGAGATTTTATCATTTATAAATTTAATATCTTTCAGGGGGAGCTATTCTCCAGAGAGAGGGAGAATTCTTCTACCGGAAATTCATAAAGTGGAATTTGATGTCGTTAACGATAATGCTACAAAGGAATTTCCATATAGTGGAGTTCCCCGTTTCAGGTAAAAAGTTTGGCAATGTGGCATGATATTCGCAATTCACTATTTAATGAATTACTATACTGTTGTTTTTGTTTGATAACGTTTTTCGTGCACTGAAATTGTATTTGTACATAAAACAGCATTAATACAGTCAGCCTATTCATTAGCACTTTCTGTAGCCCTGTATGTTTATGAATGTAAGAATGACATAACTCTGTCATTTTGTTGGTTCCATAACATAGTATAGACTTGAATCTGCATTTAAAAATATCGAATATTGACACTGATGGAATTAAATTGAAAAATAAACACATTAAATTTCAACCGTTAAGAATAACCAAAGAAGTGTCACGATTTAATCTGTAATGGGAAACGCTATGTAAAAAAGGAGATAACTCCCGTCTTAAATGAAATATGAAATAATTCTTTAGTATCTTACTGATATAAGAAAATGATTTTGCATTCTGTTTTTTTTTATATAGAGAGAAAATGCATCGACAATATGATATAGACTCTCCGAAACGAGTAGACGAAGATTACAAGAAAACAAAGAAGGATTTCTACTTAATGAAACTACACAAATTATCGGAAGTGCATCCATCAAACAGATCGGGTATGCGCAAAGCATATTTTGCATACCTTCAGAATAACCCCGGATCGAAAAAAGCCGTTAAAGATTGCGTGGAAAAGCTTGTTTCAGATGAACCTCAGTTACAAAATACCTCTCCTAGAACATCATCTACCTCACCTGTAAGGACAGGTGCAAACTAGGATATCACAGTGCAGTCTGCTATATTCTCGTGGTACAAGTGGAAGGACAGGTTCTTTCTTTTAAAGTAAATCCAAGGAACTGATTTTTTTTATAGCAAAGTTCCAGTACTGATAAATATTACGATTTAAGAATAATGTTGAAATATCAGTATTACACCACGTTACTGTGCAAATGTTTGGTTCACCACCAACTAAAATAGCACAAAAGGAAATGTAAAAAGCACGTATGTGATGGCCGAACACCAAATGTTTGTGCCGTAAATGTAGACTAGATAGACGCTAGTTAGAAATTTTCAACAGTTACTTTATTTACGATTTTCATAGATTAATGATATTCATATCACATTATCATACAAATTATAAATCATTCCGAATTGTTGTTATTACTATAACACATTCCGTCCATATCACATAAACTCTTTAACAAGCTTAATTCATAAAGGTTTAGGATACGAAAGTGTCATTTAATGCTTTTCGCACTACATGAGTATACTATCATATCTCATTTCATTTCGCAAAGATTTGTTTTTGATTTTATTAGAAACTTTTAATGTTTAAAGGACATTATCAGTTTGAGTATAAAGATGCCTTTTAAAACTTCTGCTTTAGCGATGTAAAGTATCAGATAAAACAATAGCCAGCAGAAATGTTGTTATTCCATTGGCATTGTTTGTTTGGCGTTTACTTTTATGATTGCTGTATGGTGTACACTACTTTTTACATACTCGTCATCATGTTGTTGATATCTTTGCGCCCAATATATAATCAAACAAGGTACTGAAGTTTGTCATTTGAATCCAACTTTTTTAAAAAAAACTCATCTGATGGAAATCTTTTTGATGCTACATCACATGTACCACAGAATTATGAATCATTTTCCATCATGTTTGCCATAATTAAGTTTTGAAATATTTAGTAAGAACGGTTTTTTTATGTAAATACACTTTCTATTTATTTACTTTAAAAGATACTACATATGAAATGTACACTAGTCATATGGATACTAAATAATTGTACTTAGACTCTAACCCACTTGCAATGTGAAGAAAGAATCATATGGAATCTAATGAGATAAAATTTATTTGTAAATATATGTCTGTATTTGTATCACCGACTATACTAATTAGTTAATCAAAGTAGAATTGATCATGTTAAATACTGAGGACGTCCTCGTCAATAGAAAATCAGTTATGAAATGCAGGTTGGAGATGAAAATATCGCGCGATGAATTATATCAATGAATACTAATTGAATTGATGAATTTTCACATGGACATTGCATCCTTACCGGTTTTTAGCACATCTGCTCGTCCATCCTTCCGTCCGTAATCCACTGTGTGGGTCGAGGAGGTGTTTTCAAATATTTTAAGGTATTCAAATGACTTCACAATAACCAAACTGCTGATATAGGGTCTGTAAGGTGCTACTAAGTTTGTAAGGAAAAATGACGTTGACTTACTTTCAAGATCACAGGAGTCAAATGTGTTAAAATCTTGTTAAATCTTTTAAAAACAAAAAATCACAAGGTACTGATATTGGTTCCGATTAACCTTAACCCATTCTCAAATTAAAAGGGTCAAATGTAAATTAAATTTTTCAGCAATCAATAGTTCCTGGGTCAACGTATTTGTAAAGATGCATGCTTGAAGAATAGATATTCTAGTGTGCAGATATTTTCCCGTCTTCCATGTAAGCTGCAAAACAGGTGAATGATTGAGGAACTATCCTTTTTTGTGAATTGCCAGGAGTAAAAAAGTACGCTTTCAAGACTTTATCTGTAGTTCATATTGTACAGCAAATGATGATGTAGTGAATGAACCTGTAAATATCTTTAATAAACTAGTTCATGGAGTGAAATTTCTTATTTCTTTCTTATTTTTCGCTGTTCATAATAAAGATAAAATCATAATACATCTATCAGAATGTGACTTTCTATGCATTGTTATTTTTTGTTAATGATTTCCAGCAGACTATTGATATATATTTTTTTCATCTGAGGCTGGATTTTACTGATAGTTTTATCAAAGCAGGTCAAAATGACCTTTGCCGATTCTTTTAAGGTCATGTTTGGATGAATTAACGATGTTTTGTATTTGAATTACAAGTAATTCATTGATCGGTCCATCATGTCTACCTTTCACCGTTAAGGAGACTCTTCTATCTCTGTCACTTCTTTTCCAACAAGGACACCAACAAGGAAAGTTTTATCGCTAATCTGTATAATAAGCTTGATGTTGATTTTCCTACTGTGACTTTCCCATTCTTGGAAGTGACATGCCTTCTTCCAGTGTAAAAATGAAAAAATGGCAGTTTATTAGATATTCAAGGGCTTGCTCCGAATATAAAGATTTTCGTTCAAGACGTCGACAGCCAACATAACAACTGGTATCTCCGTGTGTTTGTTTCGTTTCTCATTCTCGCCATACTTCTTCCAGAAGCTACCTGTATTGGATAGAGTATGATGAAGTTGTATTAAAGTCTTGGTACTTTCAGTGCCGCGTTGAGGCCCGAGTGATATGAGCATGTGCGCATGTGTCTTCCGTATTGGATTCCCTAGGTTTTGCACGATAAGTAGATGAGTACATTGAGTAAGGAAATGGGCACTTTGCTTAAAAGACGCTTCTCTCACACCGGTCCTTGTAGATGACAGTGATCCAGAAGAGTAAAACTTTGTATTTAATTTTCACACTATGGACTGAAATATAATTTTCCAGACTGACATGCTTTTAATTTTAAAAGTCACTTTTTGTTGACCTCAATAGTTAACAAAAGCTACTTGTTGGCAGACCAATATATATTCCTTGCAACTATTGTTTTTATAACGTAAAGTTTACCCCATTATGATCGACCACACTTGTATCAAATCGTAGAAACGTTATGAAACAGTATATAAATACAAAAATCACCAATCCATATTTACATGTTTTAACATCACAGTTTTTATTGTAATAATTGTAAACTATTCCTTTTAAGAAATAGTTGGGCAATCAAACTGTTCAACAGGATTCGAACTACTGAAAGATATATTGTGTTTGATAGAATTACAGAATATTGTCATGTTATGAATTTTGTATACAGTGCTTAATATTCATTTTAAGAGGAATGCAGATTCGTTCATGGAGTTAACTGTTAAATAAATGATTATAAAAACGACACATGAAGGAACAAACTATTTGATATATATCCAAACTATGGACGGTAGATTTTCAATTGCTTTGTTTCAAGATTTCAATTTCTATAAGATATTTATAACATTGTAATTAACAATTTTACCGCTTCACCCTAATACCAGCTTATCATACGGTTTTACATGTGTTAGTATCCATTGCCGCTGTTGGAAATTTTACAAATATCATATATAAGAAGATTCATATGATATAGAATTAGCCACATCGAAAGCTGTGCCAAATTTGACACTTACTGAACATTGTCCTTTTGCATTGCATGGAAGGACCTTGCTTAAATGTTCATTGCATATACATTAAACGGAATTAAGCGAAAATCTGAATCGCTACATTGTACAACGTCTAATGACATAAAACGCGTCTTTACTAGTATTAGAATCCAGAATGATCATAGTCCTTACTTAAAGTTTTGAATTTCATCGTTTTGATTAATCTTACTTCAAAGTAGAACATCAATTTTGATAATAAGAGATACGTCAAGGTATACCACACAAGAGTAAATAAGATATTAAACACCACAGAACGTGACCATATTGCAAATTTTCACAACACGTGTATCTCTGTCAGTCTCCATCCATCACCGGTCCACTGACGTGTATTAATGCATAATCTCTAACCACTAGTTCAATGTACTTTTACCTATTTTTGTTACAACGATCAGTCCATATAAAATATATTCCTACTCCGACTGAAACAATGACGGCTTTTACGAATGGAAAGGATACATATGTGGCCATGTAATTCTTCCGTATTTGTGCCGTCAGTTCCACCAAGATAAACTAAGGTAAGAATAGGAAAGATATTTTGGTTTTTGATATAGATTTGCAGTTTTCTGTCATTCATTTATTTCATAGTTAACATGCGTCATCGGTATATCACGAATGGCATTTACATAGAAATTTCCTTTACCAATTCAATATTCTAAATATATCCTGATACACTGTTACTTATTAAAGATTAAAATGGTTTTCATTTGTTTTACACATGTGAGCTGATAAGTTTGTTATTTCCATCATTTCCTTATAAATTCAATGAATCATGAATTACATTAGTCCGTAGGATACTTTTCTTACGTCACATCAGGTGCTCGCTTTGTTTCATATCAGTCTATTAAATCAGAAACGATATCAGACACAAATGATACATTCGGTGGACAGAAATCTGATTAACCACTTTAATAAGATCAAATCAACATCAACAGGCTACCTTGAAGCATTTTATATCGTAGACTTTTGGAAATATTATTACTATTATTATAAATTAATTATATTCAAACATACATATAAATTGAAAAATATCGTCATTTCAAAAGAAAAGCACATTTCTTTATAAATTAAGACAGATGACCAATATTACAGTTTAATACGTAAAATATCGGTATTATAATTCAGAGAATTTTGTTAGGAATTGAATTATGAATCAATCGATATAACGTAGGATAGTGTAGTGCATTTTTAAAACACTTTATGGTGGTGTATTCAGTATTGACATAACAGATGGAGAATAAACTTATTGTGTCCCTACTTGTTGCCTTTGCCGAAAAATATATATCTGAAATATATCTGGATATACTATTGTTTTTAAGTTACTTAAGCTAAAGTCCAATGTGACCTATGGCATTCCTCTTTTATGCGGCGTCGGCCGTCCTCCGTCAGGAAACTTTATCGATTTTCGTTTACCACTGAACCGATATCTATTTTGCAGAAGTCATCCATGGCCGAATGTGTCGTAAAATTGTAAACTCTGTTGTCCCCAAACTCCTCTCCCATCCCAGTGAAGCTGAAGGGCGGGTTCAAAAAAATTGTTGAAATTCCAA